ATTGTATAAATAGCACATGCACCAGTGATGATGTTTTGTTCTCGTTTGTGATGTTCTGCCTCAGTTTCTCTTCTTTAATAACTTCTTCATGTACTCTTTTGTCCTTGTTTCTTTTCACACTATATAATCCAGCATGATGCTCTTCATTAAGTCTGGGTGGGTTGTCACGGTAACAGCAGACACTAAATTAAAGGGCCGTAATTAGGTTTTGGTGTGAGTTTCACGTGTCGCTGTGTATCAGAGAATGACGCCTGTGTTCTCAGTGTGACGGCGCTCTGCTCTAAACATTTATTTTAGAGTCAAAGATGCACTGCTTTGGCTGAGTTTAAGTGACATTTGATGTGAAACACTACGAGATGTGTTTCTTCTGTTTCAGCTCCACAGCGTTTCTCATGTTCAGCCGTTCATCTTTGAGGGCACTCACACAGAACACGGTTTTTACTTTTAAAAATGAGATGAAAAAACAAGATCTAGAGATATTCGAACACCGTGTACTGCGGGAGACACTGCAAAATACACCCGGTCAGATACACTCAGCTAGTGCATCTTTATATAGAAAACAATGGAAAAGCAGCGGAGTGGAGCTCAAAAACATGATCCATTCTGCTGAAAGAGTCTCAATTGAGTTTAATCCATTCTGATTGTTGTTTGGATTGATTCTCAATTAAAGCATGCTCATCATCTTCACCTCTGTTGTGTAACAGCATGTGAATCTCAAGCTAAACTCGCACAGATCAGAGATTCATGGTTTGAAGCTCACCGGAGAGTCTTCTGCTCTTTATCTCCTGAAAGGCTGTGATGTGAGTCCTCTCACGTCTCCCGTAAAGCCCTGCGTGTTTGTGCTGGACCGCTCTAATTATTATTCTCTTTTGATTCAAATCCAGGCCCAGCTCTGTTTGTTTTCGCTCAAGAAGAGATTCCACAGCAAACATCCTCTGCTTCTCATCCTGCGCTTTCATATGACAGAACCACAGGATCGTAATCCCCGCTCTTCCTTTGATTTCTCCATGTTGTCATTCACGATCTGGATTAGGCTCAATTAAGAGGGAATATTGTATGTGTGATCAAACGCCAGAGGAGCGGGCGAGTGTGTCCAGAACAAACGGCACGCTGGACGCTCTTCGGTCTCCTGAGATCTCCTCTGAGGTGATGTGCTCCTCTTCATCAGCACCGCGCTGTTAAAAACTTCATAAAGACTGAAAGTCTGTCCTTCCCGCTCGAGCTGAAGAGCGCTGGCCGCTCCAGATATCCGTGTTAGCGATTCATTCAGCCTAAACCCTACTGCTGAGATTGCTTCATTAGAGCGGCTTCTGCTAATATATTAGTTCTCCGTGCGCTGTTATTTTTTCCAGGAACACAAGAAGAAATGTCACATACTCTTTTGCATTCTGCAGTTTGAAGACAGTCGTGATTCATTCGCTGTGTTCTGAATCTTCTGAAGACCTGCAGTTATTCTGACCAGAGATTCACGGATAATCTTTCCGTCCAGTTGAGAAAAGGACCACTGAACTTGAGAAGTGAATCGGTGAATGAATCGTTCGTTCGAGCCCTGATCTGGTTCAGCTCAATGACTCAGTGTTCTGATCACAGCGTTAACTGAACAACTCTCTGGAAGATTTTTGGTAAATCACTTACATGTACTTACATTTTCATCACACAACGACAATAACTTCTGAAGATTGGAATGATTTGGAAACTATTATGGCATGGCTTTGGACTGTGATTAAGAGCTGCATGAAGATTCATCAGCACACGGATGTCATGAGAGTGAGTAAACACTGACAGAACCTTCACTGTTTGGTGAATAACTCTCTCAGTCACCCCTGTGTAAGAAAGCAGCTTCTCGTTGGGTTAATTTACCCACAGAACAACATGGTAAGCAGCTTGGTTCTGTGAGTATGAGTACTTTTGTTAGCTCTTCCTGGACCTGAGGAGGTGTGTCTGTGATCGCTGCGAGCGGCTGACAGCAGCTTTGAACATGAACGAGACGTGTTCCTCGCCGCCTCCGGCTAGACCCAGACAAACTCCTCCATTCTCTTTGAGGGAACCTTTGACATGCTTCACTTGATGCAGCTCTGAAGCTTCTGTAGGCCAGTGGAGTCCATCAGAGAGACCTGTAGATATTCTTTTGTAATTATTGTGCACATCATGCATTCATTTATCACTTTCCCTCATACATTCATGTGAATTGAAACCTGAACTCTTGATGAAAACCGCTCATGTGGGAGATCCTGTCAGTTTCATCAGAGCTTCAGTCGTGGCTCGTGTGCTGTCAGAGCGTTTAGTAATTCATCCACACTCTCTCTGTGTCCTTCCTGATCATGCGCTTGTGTTGTTCTTTGCAGAATTGGATGTTTCTTAATCTCCTCATTTGTAAAAACGATGGAGATTTCTCTGTGAAGACTGCACTCACTTTCATCAAGATTCACAGCTGCGTTTGTCTCATTAGAGCAATAAAATGAGTGGCTTGTTTTCCCCATTGCTCTCCTCACTCGTCACACTCTCTAAACATGTTTTCATCACATACATGAGACCGGAGGAGTTTCTTCTGTTCACTGTTAATACGGATTAATCCACTCTGTTCTGTGGCTTTCATTTACTGAGTGTTTATATGCAGTATAAGTGTGAAGAAGTGCGGATGATCAGGAGCTTATGTGATGTCTGCGTGATTTTGGTGTTTTTGTGTCATTTGATGTGCATTGATTCTTCTAGAATTTGCTTCATCATGAACGTTACATTTTTAGATGCTTCCTGAACTTCAGGTTTTACATACAATTGATAATTTCTCCATTTAAATAGAAGTTGTTCTGTCAAAATCTGTTTGTGAAACTTTTGAATGGCATTTTTTTTTAAGTAAGCGACATTTTCCAACCATGAGCACATCAGTGTTGGATTAGTTCATGAACCTTCGCAGCTTTTCCTTACAGTCACTCTTCATAGTAATCACGACTGTTAAAATGAGAAAAACACCATAAAGGTCATCCACTACGTTCCAAGTATTTTACCCAAAAATTAAAATTAGCTCACCCTTAAGCCGTCCGAGGTGTATATGTCTTTCTTCTTTCAGACGAATCTAATCGGAGTCATATTTTAAAAAATCCTGGCTCTTCCCAGCTTTATAATGGCAGTGAATGGGTGTTATTTTTCAATAATACAAAAGAAGTCCAATAAAGGGCATACATCCATCATAAAAGGTGGCTCACACGGCTCCAGGGGGTGACTTTATTCTTTCAGACAAATACAATCTGAGATATATTTAAAAATGTCCTGGCTCTTCCAAGCTTTATAATGTCAGTGAGTAGATGTTATTTTTCAACAGTCCCAAAGAAGTCCAATAAAGCGAATCCATCCATAATAAAAAGTGCCTCACATGGCTCCAGGAGGTTAATAAAGGCCTCCTGTAGCGAATCGATGAGTTTTTGTAAGAAAAATATCCATATTTAAGACGTAAGAAACAGAAATGTCTGGCTTCCATTAACTGTCATAAACACATTCACACTAGAACGCTGCATTTAAGGCTTACAATATGCTGGATTTGAATGAGGAACTGAGCTATAGTTAGGTCTTAAAACATCTAAATTTAGTAAAAACATTTGTGTGATCCTTTAACAATATTCCAACCAACCAATCAGATCGAAGTGACAAGTTTACAGTTTGTCAACACACTTAAAAATAAAGGTTCTTTGTTTTGCATCAATAGTTCTGTGAAGAACCTTGAACATCCATGGAACCTTTCAAATGCAGAAAAGGTTCTTTATAGTCGAAAAAAGTTATTTGTATTTTTAAAATGTTAAATCGTTCAAAATGGTTCTTTTAGGAACTGTTCACTGAAAGGTTCTTTTGGGAACCAAAAATGGTTCTTCTATGGCATCGCTGCAAAAACACCCTTTTGGAGCTTTTATTTCTGAATACATGTTTGAAGTTACAGCCAGGATTAGCACTAGGTGTTTCTACGTCTTTTTTTATTCACAAGTCACAGTTAGGTTTAGTGATATAACAGCATATGGGTTTGGATCGATATGAGGGTGATTAATAGTTTTTGGTCTAACAGAATTTGGCAGTGTGTGAAGAAATGACATCTTGAATGTTTCTGTAACTTCGGGGACGAGGTTTTTCTGCAGTGCTTTTAATTTCTCCAGATTTCGAGATGCAGGATCAGTTTCAGCACTGAAGAACTGCATTTCCAGCCATTTTCCCAGAGTTCAGTCACTTGTTCAGTGCTTTGACAGCGAGTGTCACGCCTTCATCTCCAGAAGAGCAGTGTGTTTGTTATTAACCTCTGACCTCCGCTGACCGCACCACTGCGCTGCTGACGAAGAACATCAGCGTCCTCTCCTTTTCTCCTTTCACAGTGATCCTGTGATGTGTTTTAGAAAGATGCTGTTGTTTGGATGTGTTTTGTGCTTTTGCTCCAGCTAACAGAATGAGGTCAGAATCTGGATCTCATAAAGCGTCTCTCTGCGCATCATTCCCGTCTCTCGTTCATTCTGAAGGCTGCGATTCACACACGTCTGTGTTCCCTCTGAAATCGTGTGTGTTTGCATTTGTGTTGTTCACGGTGTCTGTCTCTGGTTGTGTTGATCTGAGTGCTGTGGGCAGTAAACCAACGGTCGGCACACAAAAGCTTCTTCAAACCCATTAAATACATGCACGGTTGCTTTGTGAAAGCGTGAATGAAAGAAGACATTTTCCATCATAAGATAATGTCAGTGTATAATAGTCACGATCCAGACACATCTGTCTCTTACCGCTGCAGCCGCTTTTGTTTCTTTCAATGAGCTCTTAATAATGATGTGAATGAATGATGGCTGTTTCTCTGGTGCATGCATGTATTCATGGGTTAAATGCATCTGTACAAATGTCACCTGTTTACAGGCTAATCACTACTTATGTTTGCTGTCAGGGCTGGAGGCTCTTCATCTCCATTATAAGCACAGACGTCTTTAGTGTCTTCAGATGCAGTTTGAGCTGCTCATGAGTGTTTCTGTCTCGTCTCACAGATCGGCGAGAGGCAGCGTGTGCTGGTCACTGAGGACTCCTTCGATTCGCAGTACTACGTCGCTCACAACAAGTTCTACGAGCAGGTACAAGCTGTCACTTTAGTGTCATTGTGATACTGTCATAGCTTTTATTAATATTGTTTAGTTAACTATAATAACCCTGCCTTTGAATTAGTAGTTATTTTCTGCTGAACTGCAACAGTGATGTGGTTCATGTTTGCTGACAGTCCAGTGATTTCAGTCTGGACTTGAGCTGAACCTACTAAAATAAAAAGCATTGGTTTTACTCCAAACCTTTCCACGTTGAGTCAGAAAGCTGTTAAATTAAGTTTCACTTTTAACTTTTAAATCTCACTGAGCACAACTACAAAAATGAGACGCATCTGGACAAAAATACTCATTTATTAATCATAAGCATTTTTATTTTTAGAAAAATAATTTCTTTTTAATAAAAAACAATAAATATATAATTTATTAAATAAATATATTGATCAAAAAATGCAAAGTTATTCTTTGAAATCCAGCTGGAAACACAAGGTCGTCCTGTAAGCACACTTCACGTCAATATAAAGTAAAAAAAAAAAGCTCAACTGCATTGAGTTTCAAAGAGTCCATGTGAAAATGCACTTCAGACATCTTCAGATATGTCCGTGAACACCTGTGCTGGAGATGTTTGCAGGCTTGTCTTCAGACTAATGCTTCTCTATAAGTGTCACTTTTGTCTGGAGAATTTAGCGGTTTGATCATAACGCCATATTTCTCAGTGTCAGAGAATTTACAAGGTATTTTTCAGTGTGTCTTGGGCTTGTAGGATCTGAAGTCTACCAAGCAACACAAGGCCATGAGGAAAATGTTCGCTTTTATTCAGAGCATCCATGAAGTCCACACTGATTGTGAACAGAGCAGGGCTGTGGGGGCAAATGTTCATTGTAGCCTGTAGATCCATTAACATTGTAGATCCATACACACAGAACCTGAAAAACACAAGACGCAGGCAGTGAAATTAGTATGCATTTACATAGAAAAACAATGGAGAAGTAGCACAGTGGAATGGAAAAACGCTTTTTGTGTCAATGTCTAAGGTCTACAATATGAATATCTTGCAACATCTCGCAATTGTCTTTTTTTCTCAGAATTCTAAATTTACATATCGCTTTTTTGTATGTGACTTTTTATCTAGCAATTTAGACTTTTTTTTTTTTCTTTTGCAGTTGTGGTTTTATATCTCACAATTCCAAATTTTCCTCTTAGAATTACAAATTTAATGTCTTGCAATTCTGAATTTATATATAATCCACGGCGGAAACAAGCTTCCTAATGCGATGGCTGCGTGTCACGATCAGACCCAGATTACATGACTTGACACATAGGTCTGTATGAAGGACCAAAGTCCATCACACAGGTTTGGAAGAGTGATCTATTCCTTTAAGGAAAGCACTGATGGTGCCTGATGTGTTTAGCAATGTTTCTGAATGTCTTCTGCATGGTTAGAAGTGATTGTTTTCCTTTCTAACTAGTCAATGGTCTGAAGTGAGACAGATGTTATCACAGTCACACATTCCTCTCAGGTTCAGGTTCTCCTCATGGGTCACAGAGGTCACCCGTCTCGCCCGCCACCATTGATCTTTCATTATAATGCCAGCAGAAAGCCATCTCAAGCGATTGATTGAGGACGGGGACATGCATTAAAGGATGGGAGCTCTAATCTGGGATGCAAGCCCTCTGTTTTCTTTTCCTGCGTTTGTTCTCCTCCTTTTCCTTCTTGATCTGCGGCCTCAAAGCTGGAGCGCTCTCCAGAGCGTTTGAGACGTGACTGACCATCCATCAGGGAGAGCCCAGCTTTACTCAGCGGATCACCATGAACATGGGGCCGATTAAGAGCTCAGCTCAGGCTGTTTGGAGCTTAAGCTGGTCTGCCTTTGAGCTGCCAGCGCCGTGTCAAAGACAGAACTGAAGACGGAGCCGCTTGGACTCGTCAGGGACTTACAGCAGCGAGCACGTTTAAGCGTAAACGAGTGAAAACATCTGCCAGTGTCATTAGATGTTTGTAAAGGGGCCTTAAAGGAATGGTTCACCCAACAGTGAAAATTCTGTCACACAGTTTCTTCCTTCTGCTGAACACAAAAGAAGATATTTTGAAATAAGTGTGTAACCAAACGGTTGTTGATCCCCATTGACTTCAGTAGTATTTTTTTTCCGTACTATGGAAGACAAAGGGGACCAGCAGTTCTTCAAAATATCTTCTTTTATGTTGAATGTAAGAATAAAGTTCATACATATTTTGAACAAGTCGAGTTTTAATCAACTGGAAATCACTACAAGAATTAAGAATGTGTGATGCTTTTGTATACACAAAGTACACTTTTAAGACCTTCATGTTGACAGCAATGATCAGTGTTCTTCAGATCTTATCTCATATAAATTATATGAGAGGAGCTGCTGCTGTTATACACTCATCTAGACACAAAGATACTCTAGACCTCATTGGTTCACTCTTCTCATGTATTGCTCCATATGGGATTCAAACAACACTCTTTCAATGAGCAGCCTCTTGGAGAAACATGTTACTCTCCACACTGTCATTTCGTCTGCACTGTGTATTGCTAGTTGTTTTAACCAGCAGTTCTCCTGGTTAAATTCACCCAGTCAGTCGGTGGAGAGGCTCAGGGTTTCTCTCTTCGCTGCTTACTGCTCGTGTGTTCTTCAAGGACACGCTCACGGTCTCCAGCGCTGCCACAGATGTGCGCTTTCAGAGTGACGAGAGAGGTTCAAAGAAATGCTGCTGTGTCCTCTTCCACCGGCTCTGAAATGCTGTTCAATTTACAATGAGAAGGAGATAGAGACACGATTCGCAATTTCCAGCAGAACATGGACCACTCTTAATGGGTTTCCAGTGTGCAAGGACTCCTCTCAATAGAGGCGAGACAAAGATGTATGAGCGCTTTATCTATCCCTTAAAATGCTAGTGTTTGACCTTCAGGGTTTGTGTAATTGAATGAAAAAGTAAATGGGAAAATAACTCTTCTCATATTAAAGTATTCAAATTCACGGCACACATCGGCCGCGGCAGAGATGGAGGAAGAGGAAAACACATTTATTTCCCAGCCTAATTGAAAACGTATTCGACAGATCCTCTGATATGTCTGAGTTTTGATGAATCATAATGCGCTTTAAGCTTTCTGCCGAGCCTTTCATGTCTGGGGAAGGTGGTTTTTACGCTCTGAACTTATCTGCCGCTCAACGTAATGAAGGCAATTTCAATGTAAACCCCTATAGATCCAAGCGCACAGCTTTTAATCCAATTCAGCCTCCACGCCTGGACTGATTCATCTCCCCTCAGACCTCATGCAGATCTGAAGGACTCGTCGCTCTGGGTCTCAGTGGAAAGTCTCAGATGCTCTGGGATAAGAGGAGCAAACTGGCATCAAGAACATGACAGCACGCGCAGAGAAACAAGATGCTTGTTTGTTTGTTTTGTTTTTTCACTTGATAACAACACTGATCAACACTTACAAGCTCATTGCTGCTTTTGTGGAAATGCAGAACTTGTCCTGAAGAGCGTGTGAGAATCTTTAATGAGCGGTTTAATGTGTGCAGTGAAGGCAGTGCAAGGCGTTTGAAAGCGATGGCCAATGCCATGACTCTGATGTGTCAAGAGCTATTGATCTCCAGCATTTATGCTGTAGATCCCCTTTCCATTTATGAGCTGTTTTTAATTTTTGTGATCGTCGTAAACGGACGATATTACAAAGTTGGTAAAAACAGGACTTTGACAAGCTGGTTGATATGGGGTTCAAAGCATAGTGTAGAATCAAATATTACACCAAGATTACGTACAGTGGGGGAAGGATGTACTATAACCCTGTCAATATTAATAGAAAAGTCAAGATGAGGGGAGACAAAGGATTTTGGGCCAACTAACAGAATCTTAGTTTTTTCATTATTCCATTTTGAGAAATTTTGAGCCATCCATACTTTAAGATCATGTAGGTAAGATGTTAAAGAAGTAGGAGGAAAAACAGAGTTGGGCTGTGCAGAAAAATAAATTTGCGTATCATCAGCGTAACTGTGGAAATTTAGACCATGACATTTGACCCAGAGGAAGCATGTAGATTAAGAAAAGAAGTGGACCAAGAACAGATCCTTGAGGCACTCCACGAGTATTAAAAAAGCAAGTATTGAATAGTAATAAAATTATTTTATTTTTAATGAATTATCCATTTCTAACCTAAAACCAACAAGCTTTTATTTTGGCGGGTACCGGCAGGTAAATATAGGCCTATGCTGTGTGGGGTTTTAAAGTGCTTCAGTAAATGAAGTGTCACAGTTTTGCATTTTGCTCTGAAACAGGCAGTGCATAGCCTAGATTTATGCTTTCAGTTCGATCTTATACAGTATTACAGTTTGTCGATCTAAAGAAGTGATTGTGCATTAACAGCTGTCAACCATGTCAGTATGCAAATGAGCACTCTGAACATATTTACCCAGCGCATTTCTTATTTTAGACGTGTATGCGCACCTGCGTACCACTTATGTGCATCCTTGTATATAATGCTTATTATATAATATTCTCTTTCATGCGTCTGCAGGTTCTGGTGCCCAAGAAGCCAGAGTTCAAAGGGAAGATGATCGAGGTGGACATATACGAGGCTGGGAAGCACTACATGAAGGGCCGGCCGGTGGAGGACGCACGGGTCTTCACTCCCTCCATCGCTCAGCCTCTTCAGAAGGGACAGGTGTCTGGACTCCCTCAGGTAAGTCTGCTGGACCATCTCAACATGAACGTTTCACATTAGCTCGTTCTACACACTGAAGATGGCAGAAAAGTCACAATGGGGGACTGTGGAGAAACTTTGGAAAAGTCGCCCTCTCATCATAGCTGTGTCATTGTAGACTTAATTTCCAGAGTAGTTTTGAGGTGCTCAGAAGCTCCATGGGTTCAGATTCAGTCCGACAGCTTGAATGTGTTATAGTAGTGGCGGGGTCCTTCAGAGATGAGCAGAAGCTGGCGGAGGGGACGGTCAGTCGTGGCCAGCTGACCGCTGCGCTGCCAGAGCGTCTGTCTGGAGCAAACGCTGTGCCTGTCTGCGTCTGAAGAGATGGACAAGACAGATTGGAGGCCGTTTCCTCCGGCACAGCATCCAGACTTCACATTCCGTTTGCAGCCTGTTTTACGTTAGGACGAGAGTGTGAAATTCAGAGTGCGTCTGATAATATGTGAAACCACCAAACACAAGAATCAGCTATTATAGTATGAGAAAACCAGATCTATGTGTAAGGGAAACAGGTCAATTTAGCTCAAAGGGAATCATTTAAGATTTTAAAGGGAATTTGGACAGAATCACTGTTTTACGGCTGATCA